AATTCTTATGACTGTTAGCTCGAGGGTACATTCACAGTGTGGTGTGCTAAAGCCCTGTGTGACATACCACAGGGTTTTTGCATTAATGCCCAACATCCTGAAGTAGCAGTCAGTTTCTGAGGAGTAACCTCACCCGTACAGAATCCAGCCTTTCATCCAAAACTTTTGTTTTTAATATGCACTCATTCCATTTTACATAGCTACATATATGAAAGAGCACATTCATTTCTGAGATGTCATTTAAATACTGGAGCATAATTGATTGCTGTTTGAGTTGACCGTATTTGGCATAGTCATAAGTTGTCACAGAAGTGTTTTCGTTCAATCAGATCTATAATTCAAATGTACCTCCTTGTCAGAGCAGCACTTGTGCGTAACAACCTAGAATTTACTGCAATGGCAATTAGATGATGAATGCCATAATTTTGTTCTTGATCTTTACTGGGATACTAATTAGTCATGGCTGTGTAGTTGTGAGTCAAAATGATACAGCCAATGTCTGCTATATGTCAAAGGTGTCAGATGGAACAGTAGTTTATTTATGGTTTCCATAAAACTCATGGTCTGTTATCTTCAACTGCTCAGAAGTTCTAAGAACACCAGAAAATGCTGTTAAAACTCAAAAGGTCTGGCAGCATTTGCAGAGAGAAATATGTTTTAAGTCCAGTGACTGGACTCTGCTTCAGTTCTAAAGAAAAGCTATTGGACTCAAAACGCTAGCTCTATTTCTCTCTTCGCAGATGCTACCAACCTCTCTGAATTTCTCCAGCACTTCCTGTTTTTATTTCCGATTTCCAGCATCTGCAGAATTTTAAATTTATTTGAATTTCAAGTATTTATGTGATATTACGGGTGAAGAAATATGTTTGAATTGCCTTGCTTTTAGTGACATTGTGCAAAACTACTTCAATTCTCCATGAGCAGGCAATGCCACAAGCCACGATCTACATTATTTATATGGAGTTCTTCACGATACTGAATGATCATTTTTAACTACGTTCCCTTCGGTCTTTTGAGTTTGTTATTTAATAAAATAACAGCTTTAACTCAGTCTTCATTCCTGATTGATTACTATAACCAAATTTATGCATGAACCGTACATTGCAACTGGTTTAAAAAAAGGCATTGGTGGGATTGCAATCCTTCATTTACAAAATGATAAACTAAAACAAACCCCTGTTTTTAGGATTATTTTAAGAAGAACATAAATTTAAAATTGTATTATAAAATGAAGCCATTCTTCACTATGTAATGAGAAGGGGTGGTATGAATCTATACCTGCTTAAATTTGTGATCAATATAGCAATTTCTTGGTTATCTCTGATACAGCAACTTGCTGAATGATTTAATATTTATTGCTTCAAATCTCTCAGGCACTATTCTATAATCCGTTAGAGCCCATCCGCAATCCTGTAAGTGGCAACAACGATCAAAGCAATTCAGAGATTTGTGATTGCCATTGATCATGATGATGGCAGAAGTATTATAAATATTTCATGTGGCTCTGTAGACTGGTGCAAAAAGATTGAAAACTTACTGGAAAAGCCACATAAATATTAGGACAGATAAGATTCTTGACATTCTGTATCAACTGAGCTACCTCCTGACTTCCCAAAATCTTTCCACCACTTATAGGGCACAAGTCAGGAACGTAATTTACCAGACTGATTCCCGGAATGGAAGAGACACTGGATTGGCCAAGACTATATTCACTGGAGTTTATTGAATGAGGGGAGATCTCATAAAACCTATAAAATTCTAAAAGGACTAGACAGGATGGATGTTCCCGATGATAGGGGAGTGTAGATCCAGGGGTCACAGTCTAATGATAGATAGTAGGCCATTTGGGACTGAGATGAGTAGAAACTTTTTCACCCAGAGAGTGGTGAGCCTTTGGAATTCTCTGCCACAAAAAGCAGTTGAGGCCAAAATATTGAGTATTTTCAAGAAGGATTTAGATGTAGTTAAATGATGAAAGGGTATTGGGATAAAATGGGAATAGGGTATTGAGTAGGATTTTCAGCTATAATCAAATTGAATGGCAGGGCGGGCTTGAAAGGCCTTCTCCTATTTCCTGGGGTTCTACATAATGTAGTACTGTCTATATGCCTGGATGAGTGGCATTCCAACAATACTCAAGGAACACAAAACCATCCAGGATGAAGCAGCCTGCTTGAATTTAATTAAAGCAATGTGAGACATCCACTGGTTACAAAGTGTGCTGTACAGGTGCAAATCTTTCCTTCTGATTGACAGTCCATCCATCAGATTAAATGTTCACTCCCTCCACTACTCATGCACTGTGGCTACAGTATATACCATCAACAAGCTGCTCCATAGCAGCTCCATAATATGTGATCTATGCTACCACAAGTCACCATAGTCTGAGAGGGCCATAGGGCTGCTTTCTCACTGGGGCAAGATGACTGGTGGTGAGGTTAACTGAAGGATCACCATGCCTCAATGAGAAGGCAGGACCTTCTTCATGGTAACCACAACTAGCGTGGGAATTGAACTTGTGCTATTGTGTGACTTTACATTGCAAATCAGCCATCCAGCCAACTTAGCTAACCAATCTCCACTAATGTACCACCATGAGGAATAAGGAAAGTAGGTTCATGGAACCACCACTGCTCACAATTTCCCCTCCAAGCCGCACACTATCCTGTCTTAGAACTATACGTCCACTTGTATAATGTGATTGGATCAAAATCCTGAACTCCATATCTTATGGCACAGTGCCTTCACAGCTTTGCAAAGGCAGTTAAGGATATGAAATAAATGTTCACCTTTCCATTAATAACAATGATTACATAAACAAAATTGCAAAAAATGATATATATGTGCACTTAACAAAACAGGGAAGTTTAGTTTTGTAATACAACATCAATGAGATGATCTACTGAAAGTGCTGTAGCAATTCAAACAATAGCAATTTCTTCTTAGGTGACCACCACAGGCAATTGCATTTGATTAATTTTGAATTCCTTATTCTAGCACAGAATCTACTGTGAACTCCAGCACCATCAACCAAACATGCTAATACATCTTACTGGATTACAATAATATCCTGACACTTCTTATGCACCAGCAATGCGGAAACTCCGTCATTGCACAGTATCCAGTGGTTGAAAGAGAAACCCCAACAGCATTTTCTCAGGGTAATGAAGAACAGACAGTGATTGACACATTGTCTATATTCTAGGAGAAAAGATAAAATACCTACAATTCCTCACACAAATTTTCGTGGACACAGTGGTATTTGTCAAGGTCCCTAGAAAGCCAGGTTTGTTCTAGAAAAGAAAACAGGAGTGCTGCAACTCCTGATTATTTACATAGTATACATCAAACAAATATTAAAAGAAAAGATAGGTTGAAGGAAGAAGATAAAACACAAAGTGTCAATTTTGTATGCAATTCTGTCAGCTTATTGTATTAGTACTGTAGGCCCAGAGGTAAACATTATATTGTCAGAATGTTGCATAATGTGGTTAAAGTGGAGTCCACAATAGATTCTGTGCTGGAATAGGGAATTCAAAACTGATCAAATGCAATTGCTTTAATCAAATTCTGCTCCTTATTCCATAATTGGACCAGAAGGAGACTGCACCAGACATCATACTCGCAGTACTGTTTTCAAATCAAATTTTATGTGGAGAATTTACATGTCTACTGGGGATCATCAGCCACTGAGCAGCCAATTACAACACACCAAAAATGCATATCCATCTACTAATGGTTATTAATTGAAAAACACACTATTATGTTTATGGATTTCTTTAGTATTTCAAACTTGATTGGGTAATTTGGAACAGAAGACCTCTGTGCACAGCTAGCTTCAGCTCTCTCACCATAAGAAAAATGGAATCAAAACCACTGAAGATCTTCAATGCAGTTTGAAAATATAAAAACTGAAAGAACTGTGGATACTGTAAATCAGGAACAAAAGCAAAGTTGCTGGAAAAGCTCAGCAGGTCTGGTAGCATCTGTGAAGGAAAAAAACAGAATTAACATTTCAGGTCCGGTGACCCTTCATCAGAACTGATGTTACCGCAACTGCTGGGCTTTTCCAGCAACTTTGTGAAAATATAAACATAGTTCTTATTTAATAGTATAGAATTACTTTGGAACAGATTTTCATCTCAAAATGCCTGAGAGGTGAATGGGGTTTGTTATTTTTGATGAACACATGGTCCAGTGAATTAAAACAAGGAGTAGATGTGTTTTTAAATGCCAATCTTAAAAAGGTGTCAGAACTGCGCCATTCTACCATTATCTAATGAAAACAACACTTTGTCACAGAACCACAGTGTTATGGCAAAAAAGAAGGCCATTTGGCCCATTGTGCCTTGATCTTCAAATGAGCATTACTGTCTAGCGCCAATCTCCTGTTTTTTGTCCACACCCTTCAACAGCATGTTTATCCAAAATAGTCATCCAATGCCCTCTTGATTGTTTATATTTAATACGCTTCCACCACACATTAAAAAGTGCATTCCATATTCTCGTCACTCACTGTGTGAAAATGTTTTTTCTCATACTGCTGTTCCTTATTTGTCAAATCACTTTAAATCTTTGCCCTCATTCTTGTTCTTTTAACAAGCGGAATAATTTCTCCGTCTCTATCCAGTTCACTCATGATTTTTAAAGCCTCCATCAGATCTCCTCTAAGCCTTCTTCTCTCCAAGGAGAACAGTGTTGACTTCTTCAATCTACCCTGATAGTTTCTGAATCTTGGATCCAATCTTGTAAATTACTTCTGCACTCTCTGCAATGTGTTCAGTCCTTCCTATAACGTGGCACCTACAATAATCCAGCCGAAGTCTAACCAGCATCTTACACAAATTCAACATTACCTCCTTGCTCTTGTACTTTTTTTGTCTGCCCCACACCACAAAGTTGGTGCATTTGTGCAATAGTTATGTCGAGTTGTTTCAAGTTTAAGTGCCTTTACAACAAAGTGATAAATGCTAATTATTGTGTATCAATCTCTCAATCAGAGGGCCAGCAGCTTTGCAGCCTTGGAAGCTCCAGGAGAGGTGGTTGCTACTCAGTCTGCAAGTAGAACATGAGACACTTCATTTTGAGAAGCTTTTGGAGGGGAGGTAAGAAACATTGTTATTGCAATTGGGGGGGTCCTCCTGGGACCAGAATGCAAGGACAGGAGGTTGTCTCCATGCAATTTGCAGTCCGGAAAATGTACCTTTACACCAACTTAATTGGCCACTTACCAGGTTACCCGTCTCAGCTGGAGAACAGTCAAATTTCTTCCCATCCTACCACTAGCTAAATGATCCAGCAGTTGGCATTCACTGGTGAGTCCTTCTGCAGTGTCTCCTCGAACCCACAACCTAGCCAATCACTCAATGGGCTGGTAAAATCTCACCATTTGAATCAAAGTTTGAGAATTGGTGATAGTAAGATTTGTCCTTGTGCATGAATACTGGTCACATAAGTATCTGTAGAATCAAGTGCACAAACTAGGAGCCCTTTGTGTTGTAGTCTTCCCAAAGCTTGTCCAACATTTACAAAGTGAAAGTCAAGAGTGCAATGGAATATTCTTTCCTTGCCTGAAAAAATACAGCTCCAACAACACATAATGAGCTAGACATCATCCAAGACAAAACAGACTGCTTGACTGGCACCACATCCACGTTTATTCCGTTCACCAATGCACATGACAACAGTGTGTACCAATCTGCAGATCAACTGAAGTCACTCACTCAAGTTCCTTTGATAGCATTTTCCAAACCTTGCCTTGGCCACCTATAAGGACAAGGTCAGACAATGCATGGTAACACATGGTATCTGCAAGTTCCTCTCCAAGCCACTTCCCATTCTAAACTGGAACTGTATTGCCATTCCTTCCCTGTTGTTGGGTCAACATCCTGGAATATCCTCGCCAACAGCACCATGACAGCATTTACATCACAAAGGCAGCAGTAGTTCAAGAAGGTAGCTTCCCAGCACCTTTTCAAGGACAACCAGTGTGGACAACAAAGGCAGCAATAACTGACACCCTATGAATGGTTTTAAAAAATCAGCTTTAATTAATTCTTGGAATAGGCTTTCTTGCCAAGGCTACAGATATTGCCCATCCCTGGCTAAGAAGGCAGCAGTGATGGATTCCTTTAATATCTGCAGCATCTGATTGGTACCACTAACAGGCTTGCTGAGCCATACAAATGGCAGGTCGTTGTCAATCTGGTTTCATATTAAGCCAGATCTTTTAATTAAATGCTCTCTATTTACAATTTCTTCTTTATTCTGTTGAAGGGTTCTTTGAATGTTTTTCATCTCATTTTGCTGGAAGTTCTAAAATGAATACATCTCTCTGGATTCTATTACTCACAAGCACAGTATGCATTATGTCTCTTTTTTTTCTTTATATCCACATACATTATGTCTCAAGTTCTTTAGCTATCTAAATCCACCTGTTTAGGAAGCATGACTGTAACCTTAAAAGTGTAAGAGGGTCCAGATTTGTGTTATTGCATTTATCCTTGTTCTACAATTAAAACTTTAATTTTTAGAACTGCAAATTATATTTGTAAACAAAAAAAAACTGAGGTATATTCTAGAATTTATTTCCTGAACCATTAACTAAATATTCACAACAGTATTTACAACAATTCACCAGCTTCATGGTCACTTGTATTGATATCGACTACTTCCATATTATGTGGTCATTGCCTTATTGAAAGAAATATGGATAATAGGTTGAACAATAAATGTCATCCCTTTTTCCAGTTTCAAACCATTTTCAGTAACAATTAGGGAAAGAACTGAAAATGCTGAAGTACAACAATAGTTAAATGTTCTACTCTACATAGCAAATACCTGACATTTTGCTGCATTGTCTCTCTATATTGAGTCTCCCACAGAATCTGAATCATCTGTAGAGAGGCGGAGGTACAGACACTGTGAAATGAAGGGCTATATCAATTGCTTAGACATTTTAAATTATTTTTTTTCCAGTCGTATTGTGTGAAATAAAGTGTCACATTCTATTAACGCTTACTGTACAGCTTTAATTAAAACAGTAAACAGTGTATGAGGAAATATTTCACAACAGTAACATGTAAATCAGTGAAATAAACTGCTAAGAGACCCATTAGTCAGCTATGGAGCTGGGCAGCTGAATACCTCAGCCTGCAGACTCAACATTAGTTTGCCAGCCAAACACTACGGCACTGGATCAGGCTATAAGTGATCTTCATTATTTTAAGTGCCAACAAGTCCCATCTCTTCTGCTTTGTAAGGATTAGCAAAGAGAAGACTTTTAACTGCTAAATTAGAAATTGTCAAACTGCATTGTCGAACCTCTTCTACACCTTTAACAGCCTTCAATAAGAACTTTATTTGTTTCATGATAGTACCTGATAAAATTGGCAGAACAGGTCTTTGCAGCATCAGAACCGTTTTTTTTTAAATCAGTTAAAATAGATACAAATGCAGTAAAGTTTAGTATAGAATAATAAATAATTGTATCCACAAAATTAAGGAAATTAAAAAATGAGTTTTTCCCTTTCAAAATAAAATGTTGTCTATTTCAGAAATTATTGCAATGATCTCTCAGCCGGGTATGCATAAATATTGTTTTACATTCATTCATGTTTTAGAAGATGGAAAAAGGAGTGTCATAGTGCAGTTGAGCTTGTTGCCACGTAACATAGCAGAACAATGACAAAAGGCAGATATATCAAAAGGATGCATTATGATTTTTGCTTTAGGTAAAAAGATCAAATTAAGCTTGTACCAAATATTTCTATTTGTTTGATTCAGCTGGTTACAACTCCAAAAGCATTTATATTTATAAGTTGCATCAATAATCAATAAAGATTGCAATTAAAATCATTACACCAAATACTGGTCTCCAAAGGCTATTCTTTTTAGTTTAAACAATTTGCATTGTTGTACTCATGGCTGACAGATTTAAGTTTTCTTTATGATATACATCTACAAAGGTGCTTTCTCTATAACAGACTGATTTTGCTTTTCATTTGACACAAATGTCAGTGTGCTTTTAATACACAAGTATATGAAAGGCTGTTTTTTTTTCTCACCAAGAGCAGTTCACTTGCAATTAATAAACTCATCCGAAAAATCTGGCATTTTTCTTCAGTATTGTTATCTTTTTGATGATTAATTGCTTTGACCAGTTAAGCCTTTCTTTATATAATTACAACATCTCACCTTCTGTTTGCGTAGGCTGCCTGGGCTGGTTGGTGACGGGCTTGGTGTCTTGGTGGAACGTGGAGTAGAAAGTTGGCTACCAGCAGTTCCATTCACTAAAAGAAGAAATATGAGTAAGGTCACAATTATTTAACAATCTATGCACTTAGACAGGCTTTGCGGTCTGAGTAATATGATTCTCAGTACAAGTGACAATTGAGAAGTGTGGACATTCCTCTGATTCTGTGAAATTCTAAATAACTTAGTTGTTGCTTTCTTAAGCTTTTTGTATACTTTTTTTGCTACTATTTATTGGACTCAAATTCAGATTCCTCAGTCCATAACCATTTTCTTTGGCTCAGAGGGTGCAGATGGCTTGTATTTTTCCAGAGTTGATACGTGGGAAGGCATGAAAAGATGAATGGAACTTTCTTGGATCCAAGCTTCCTTTGTGATTTTCTGCCTTGTTTCTAGGGAAATACCTCCCTTCCACTTCACTGGCTCACTTAGTGCAGAAGTTCAAGTACATAGCTTTTTCTCATATTAATTCAGGGAATGTGGGCTTTGCTGACTGGGCCAGTGTTTATTACTGCTACATAACTGCATTTGAGAATTTGGTAATGAGCTGCTTTTTTGAATCACTGCTGTTCATTAAATTACTTCCTTCGAAGCATTGCGAGTTTGTGGAATTCACTACCCAGGTGTGCAGTGGATGCTGGGACATTGAGTAAATTTAAGGAGGAGATAGATTTTTAATTAGCAATGGGTTGAGAGTGGGCATGGAAAGTGGAGTTGAGGCTGAGGTGAAATCAGCCACGATCATTTTATATGGTGGAACAGGCATGAGGGGCTGAACTGCCTATTCCTACTTCCGGTTATGTTTTTGTGTTCACAGAGCTCCAAAAACTTCATTTTTCTTTCGCTATAAGGTGACTTTTTGCCTCAAATATTTAATAATGGAAAAATAATCAAGGAAATGTCAATGAATAACTATTATGGTAGAAAAACCCTCTGATAAAAGACTGACACATTACACAATCCATTGAGTTGACTGTTGTAGGAGAAAACTCCAGCAGAAGAGAGTTGGATGAGAATCTGGAAAAAGATAAATTGATGGAGTGTGGCAGCTTTTCTCGAAGAGATTTCCTAGAACCTGGTACAGGGTACATTACAGCATTGAATGCGGCCTATTGAGCACACAACAGATCTCTGTAAAGTAATCTAATTAGTTACATTCCCCTATTTTATTCCCCTAGCCCTCAAGTGTCAATCCAGTCCCCCTTTGAAATCACTGATCAACTCCACATTCACGATGCTGGCTGGCAGTGAGCTCCATTATATTACAATACACAGTAAAAATGTTCTTTCTCACATTCCCCTGCATCTCTCACCCAAACCCTTAAATCTATGACCTTAGTTCTTGCTCAATCAGCCAACAGGAACAACTTTTCTTTGTTAATCTGATTTCCCCACCATCTCCCTTGCTCCAAGGACAGCAACCATATCTTTCTTCTCTTTACTCTCTCGAAGGGTGCCCACACTGCTGATAAGGACAGTATTTGTTGCCTAAAATGCCATTGAACTGAGAAGCTGGCTAGGCTATTTCAGTGGACAACTACGCCATGGGTCTGGAGTTGCAGGTTGGCTGGATTAAATAGGGTTGACAAATTTCCTTCCCTAAAGCACATTAGTGAACCAGACATGTTTTTATGACAATTAATGAAATTTTCATGGTCATCATTACAGAGAGAAGCTCCATATTCCAGGCGTATTAACTGAACTTGAATTCCATCAGTTGCTGGTCAGTGGCACATCATTCACCTAAGACTTTAGATTATTCTCCAATGACATGACCTCTATGCAACTATTTCCCTCAACCTAAACTTGCAGTTGGTATCCCTTATTCCTGGATCATTCAAGTAAATTTTCACTGCACACTCTTTGACCCTCATATCTTTCATCAAGTGTGGGACCCAGTATTGGCATTACTCCAGTTGTCATCTAATCAGAGATTATAATGATACATAGGTAAATAGAAGCTTTAAGAGGGACCATGTTCGGGAGAGGATATGGTATTAAAGTAGATTAGAGGTAGGGTGGAACACCAGTTTCGAGTGATTTATGGATAATGATTTTGAATTGAATGGTGCTGGATACAGGGAGCAAAAGGAAAGAACTGCAGTAGGAGTGAAGGGCTATCCGGTTTTCATGCAGACAGTATATAAGGCAGAGTTTAGTATAGTGAACTGTCCCTCAATTTAGCATGACATCTATTCAGGGTCCCACTTCCCTGTTGTGGGTCTTCTTGTGAGTGAAAAGGTCAATTTTCAGCCTGCAGGTCTTCAGGTCAATGAGGCAGGGTGTTCCATGAGGCACTAGAGTCTAAGAATGCAAGATCTGCTTTCTTTTCTTTCTTTCTCTGCTGCTACTCTGCCTTATCACCAAAGCATTTGGACCAAAGCATGATGCAATTTGATGGACGAGTTGTCACCATTTTGAATGGTTGGTAGTAAGCGCTTCCGGTCGTTGATATCAATGATGCCATGTTACAAGGACGGTTTTAGAATATCTGTAGCATCTTCTTCCCTGGATTGCTAACTATTTAAGAGTTGAGAAGAATGGACCTGGGAGGGGAGTACCTAGCCAATCTTGATTGACTTTGCATGAACGCTTGCAGAGCTGACTTCAATACCATTGAATAAAGTCAGCACTATCTGATACCCACGTCTAGAGCATTGTGTTTGAACAATGTTGTCACCATTACTAGTTCAATGAAAATGAGGAAGAAATGTGTGACCTGCTGGAATAAACAGAAGAAAGCCTTCATTGCCTGACAAAATTATCCAGGGTTGCAAATCAAAGAAGTCAGCATTCCAACAACGCAAGGCTGAAATCCAAAGAAAAATCCAAAAGTTAAAAAAAATGGTGGGAAGAGGATGTTCAGGAAATCAATAGTATGCTGACCATCACACCATGCAAAGCTTCGCTGAAGCCCCCCGGGCTATCTATATACCTGTGTAAAATGGACATAATTCCCTTCACACACAGGATGGTACCTCCCTTAGGCATGACAATGCTATTGGTTAATGCTGGAAATGACTCATCAACTGTGAATCCGCAGTGGCAGCTGATTCTGTCCAGGGCATCCCTCAGTGCCCTACTGTAGAATCTGTTGGTAGGCCACTGTCAATGGGAGGGGTGCAACAAGCAACCGAATGAATGAAAAACAACAAAGTCTGCAGCCTCCGTGTTTTTCCAGCTGAAGTAGTCAAAGCTGCGGTGGGCCTTAGCTCACACCTCGATTCCATGCACTCAAAGTGAGAATTTGGAAGGAAAAGGAACTCCCTGTTTGCCCTAATCTGACTTTGGAAACTCAATAATTATTATTACCTATAAGAAGGGAGATGAAAAATGACATAATTCCTTGTTGTCCATAGCAGGGAAAATGCTGACATGATGGCAGGCAAATACAAGAACAAGGTTTAAACATGGAGGTTATGAAAAAAGGCAGGGTAAGTTGGTGAATAAAGCATTATAGAATGATGTTTAAAAGTGGCAGATGTATGTATGAGGTAGAATCAAGTGTCGCAACTGCATTTCCTGAAGGTAAGACAGAGAGTGTGAGTGTGGTGTGTGTGCGTCTATGCGTGTGCATATGTGTGTGAATGTCTGTCAATGGGAAAATGTGCTTCTAAGAGTGTGTGTGCAAGAGTGTGAGTATGTTTGGTTGGGAGAGTCCACGTATATCTGTGTGTAACCCCTTTCAATATATGATTCAAATTAAAAATAACCAGAAACCTTTGGTGTTAAACAAGATCATTTATTATGAAAGGCTACTGTAAATTACTTAAGTAAATATAATTGAGTTATCAACTGAACACATACAAAGATTAAATGTAGGTAACGATAAAAACTACTTGCAAAGACGAAATTCAATTTAATCCTCATTGCCAGCCTGTAGTTTGCAGTTGAAGTGGTGAAGAATTGAAGAGTTGTGTTCAGCAGCTGCAATGGCTTCTGTAGTTGAATAGTTGGAGTTGGCCTTTGTACGTGAATGGAGTAGGTACAGCAATCTCATGGAGAGAGTGAAGGCCTCTTCTCCTTACTGGTTCTACCGGCAGTACACTTGAAAACTGCCTGGATTCATTTTCAGCAGAACTGGGATAATTTCTGGACCTCTTCCTTTGTGATTCCCAGTGACAGTGAAAAAAAAGTCAGTGTCACATTATTGTTTATAGTAAGTTTAGCTCAAAGCTGTGGCCTGTCTTCCCAGGTTCTCCTGATGTTTCTTCACCAAATACCTTTCACAGGCCCATCTTTTACAATGTTAAAAAAGTTAAAAATGGTTTTTATGTCAGTTTTCAATAAGGCGTTGCTTCAAACAAGTCACAGGAAACTGGTTAAGTTGCAGTCTTTGAAGAGATTGTTCCTGCTAGCACAGTGAATTCTCAAACCTTTAGAAGATTCAATTATGCTATTTGAGGTGAGGTGAACTGAACTACAGTGATAAGGACAGTTTGGCTCCTCAAACTGGCTGACTACAGTTGAATCCACAAGAAAAATCAGGTCACTTTTAGAAATCATTTCTTTAAAGGTCCCTAGGATCCATTTAAAGAAAAGGAGCTTTTTTTAAACAAATATCTAAAATATCGTAATTACACCATTCATAACAGAAGGATAATAAATATTTGCAGAGGTGTACCTTATATAATCTTGATAATGGTACAAATGTATGGTTTCATGCTGATCATGGTCAAAAAGGTTATTAATGCTGCAAATGCCTTGGTTCAATCTGTGAAGAAGAGCAGATAGTGGCAACAGAATGGACTTTACATCTTTAGCATCCCCAACGTTACATTAAAGAAAGTTGAGTTTGATCAGTACTTGGTGTTGAAAGAAAGAGGATTGATGGAGAACCAGAGCTTGTATGTCATCTTTCCTTATGTGAAAGCTAACCCTATTCTTGTTAATGTTGTTGTGAAAGGTAGCATGTGAAAAGAAAGGGAAACTGTTGCATTGTCAAAGGCGTCGCTTTGGGGATGAGATTTTAAATTAACATCGCATTTAAGCGAAAGATCTTAGTAAGATAAAGAATATTTGTCTGTCCCAGAAATCACTTCTCAATCAACATCCCC